CAGCTAGTTTTCGGGTCGTGTGAATTTCATTGTGATTTCAGTGCTAAATTATTAAAATGAAATATTAAAACTAGTGAAAATACGGTTAAAAACGCACAGTGCTTACGATAAAATAAAAAATTCTCTTACTGAAATAAATGAAAGACATTTTCAAGCGTTCAATGTTTAACGTCAAGTTTTCAAAACCTAACCTTTTTTTCAAGTGAAATATTGAGTGATAGTAAAGCAATTCAGTGGAATAGAAATTTCTACTGATTTGTTGTACTCTCTCACTCTTTTGAATGCGCGTTTCATATTTTGGTGAAGTCAATTAAGAATAATAGATTTTGCTACTTTTCCTTGCTCCATCGAGGAATTGGATTATTTTGGAAATGCGCCCATTCAAAAGAAATGAACTTCTGAATTCTTTTCAATTCCTCGCTTCTTACCGGGCCCTATTCAGCTATATCATCAATTTTTGAAAGCTTTTATATTGGATCTGGTTTGGTAAAATTTAGAAATATTTATTCTTTTTTAGAATTAAAAAACGTTTTAGTTAATAATTTATTAGTGAAATAAAAAGTATTGACAATGTCTGATGACTAGTGGATTTTAAACACGTTTCTATTTATTCTTTACGATGACTTCTAATGAAGTTTTCTTTACCGATAGAAGACGATATTCTCAGTACTACTATCGTTTGTTACGAGCAGATAGGTATCAATTAATGTATACTTCTAAGCGATTGATTGTGCATTTGCACACTAGAAAAAAACAAGAGCAGTCGAAGATCATAAGATAGATGATTCTTATACAGAGACGCTCTCATGCTGTTCGATTGGAAAATGTGTGAGAAACTATATTAGCAAACGTGAATTCTACTTTATTTACTAAAAAAACTGCTCTAGGAAAATTAAAAATGATGATCATTACAGTATTGATGAATGTTTAACAACAAAGTTCTCTTTTTATAAATTACATGTGATGAAAATTTTATTTCAGCTTTTTTTAAGTTTAAAGTCTAATTTGATTTTAATAAAGTATAAGAATGTTTTTGGTCAAGTCTTTCCAAAAATGTAATTATGTTTACAATTAACGTGTCCTTAGGACAAATATTTGTAAAGGTAGTGGATTCTCTCTTTACTTGGTTAATATTCACCAATAGGTAGAGAACCTTATTCTTTAATGTTTAGAATGAGGGGATAAATTGAGGAATCACCAATTCTTATCATAATACAATTCTCTGAGGGTTCACCTGCGAAACTTTGAGAAACTTCAAGAAACGCCTTCAACTCAACAAGACACAAGTTACCACCTAATCAACTTCGCGTCTTCTTCGTGTCAGTCCAGAAACCGCGACCAAATTAACAAGTTGTGTCATTGAGTTTATTCTTCGACTCCAGTTCCAAAAATCTTTTCAAGTACCCAGTCTCGTCTTAGTCAAGTTCATTCAAGGAGATAATTTCTACTGCAAGGCACATTTCTATTTTTCTAAAGACTGCATTATTTCGACTTCAACGTCAAATCAATAATTCGGCACCTGGACTCCGGACCTGTTATTTCGGCTGTCCCGAAAACAATTCGAAGGAAATCTACAACATATTATGTTTCCGCTAGACACTGTCGTTTCTTCGACCTCACTCTGAAGGAGGTATTGCTTGTTGGGTCTACGAATCTAAGAATAATTTTAAAAGGTAAGTTACTAATACTCTCAAAATGTTGTCGCCATTTAAATTCTCGATTGATCCCACAAAGTTCTAATTTTGTTTTAGTATCCCTGAAGACATCTGGATCTACTCTTTCTCTCTGATTCTAATTGTAAAGGATTCGAATAAAAATATTAATAATTTGATTTATTCACAAAGCAGAAGGATCTGAATCCTTCTGCTTTGTGAATAAATCAAATTTTGATCACCGATACCGAACAATTATATACAATTTGGGATATGTTTAGCTTCACTCTGAGACATAACATAAGATTGGTTATTTACAAGTCTTCTTCTAAGACGTAACAATTTTAAAGAAATTAAATCTGATGCCCAAATAAAAAATTCTAATCCATTGAACTTCTTTTTCAAGAATTTCTTTTTTAGAAAACAGTTCTTAGAATAATGTTTCTAATTATTTTTAAGAACTTATATTAATTGCTTTCTAGAAATAGAATTATTATCGTAATATAAATCCATTAATTAAAATCGATTACAGCATGTTATGTGTCTTATTGGTTTTAAAGTTACAAGTGCGAATCTAAGGTTATGCAATAGTTTTTTTCCATTATGGAGCTCTGGTAGCTGAGCGCCGCTCGTTTACCGATGGCAATCAATAATCTTTTCGCGATTGATCGATAGCGATGAATTGACACCGGTATATAAGGGAGCGGTGAAGGTCGATATAAAAAGAAATGAAAAAGAAAGATGTTTTGCTTGAGATCGATTATTCTCTATGAACATTTCCCATGCTGTCTAAATAGAATCCAAATGGGTGATAAGCCTATGGCCTTACAGCATCACTAGTGAGATGTGATGAAATCACCTCAGGTATTAATCTCAAGTTGATTCAACGCGAATCCCCCTCATCCAGACATTATAAACTGTTAACTTTGATATCTCCTTTCCTGCGCACCTCATTCTTTCCCTCTTGCCCTCCTCCTCAATCACCATTCCTTCCCCTTGACTCCATTTGATCTCTTCTCTTCGTTAACATGCGTCTCTCATCTCACTTACATCTTTGTTTTAACCTCTAGCAAAATTCCCTTTCTTTACATAAGGATTGTATCTCTCTTCAGACTTGTGCGTTGGTATTTATTAAAACGTTTATAATATTGTTAGAATTATTTTGTCCCTCTCAACCGTCATGCATTCACTACAACATGCCTAGATATAAAAGAGTGATCACCATAGGCCTTTAAGGATAATTATATACTTCAATGCAGACGATTATAATCATTTCTGAAGTTACTGCAAAACATATAAAGAGATATTTCTGTCTTGTTTTCACTTTTAGAATCAAATTGAATTTGTTTTTGTATCATTATTTCATATGAAAGTGATTTTTTGGTAGGATGTCTTTAAATTGCACAATTTTTTATTAGAAGTACCGAAAAAATAATTTCAGCTCTATACTTATTTTTAGCCATATTGTACATATATTATTATCATTGGTAAATATGAAATGCGTAGAGTAATTTTTGTTCCTTCATCAGCAAAAAAACTTGAAATAATTGTAAAAGGCCTAGTAGATACAGCATGACAGTGGCTCAAGAAACTATTGTGTGGTTAAGTCACTTAACTACAATGATAAACAAGATGTATTCAAATCAGTGAATGTCTTGACACGAAGGTCAGACACTGTTGTTGATGCGACCACACCTCCAACCCAAATACATATTATCATCCACGTCTCATTATACGGATAATCGTATTCATTGACATGGTCTAATATTCCTGTTATTGACATTTTTTTCTCTTATCAAATATTAACAAGTGTAAATAATAAAGTGTGACAGACAAAAATTCTTTTACTTTCGGCTTCTTTTATTCTCACTTTCGATTTGTCCTTTCACTTTTGGAAAAACAAAAGAAAACATGATACTGTATTGGTTAAAGGTTAAAGTTATTTCCTTCGATGTTTTTGATAGTCAAAGTGAAATAAATGATTTAAGAAAGCGTGGTAACCGGGAACCAATTTCAACCCTTAACCTTAGCTCATGTTTAAATTGATTATTATAAGAAAAATATTCCATAAAAATTAGTATTTATTTCGGATAATTAAAAAGCAATCCTTAGTTTATAGAAGACAATCATAATTATATCATAGAAATCGCAACCGTCATCATCATATTTTCAACCAATGACAAGCGTCATCATGGAATTTTGAACCAATCGCGACCGCCAACATGGAATATTCAACCAATCACGACCGTCATCTTGCCAAATCCAGCCAAAAAAAATTAGTTGTTTTTCTATTACGAGTGTCATGTCATCGCGGCGCACTTATATTATATTAAAACATTTTGTTAAAGTTAAAAATAACTGAATCCTTGTTCCTTTGAAATCTAAAACCATATTGATCCAAGTGTTCGCCCGCATCAAAAGTCACCAAATATGGTCATCAAAATTTTACTACCCTTCCACTGGGTCAGTCAAGTTCATTCAACGAGATAATTTCTACTACGAGCAACATTGCAAATTTTCAAAGGACTGCATTACCTCGACAACGACGTCAAATAAATAATTCTTTAATTCCTAATCTAAAAGCTGTTTTTTCTAAACTACATCGACACCTGGACTCCGGACCTTTCACTTTGGTTGGTCCGAAAACATTTCAAGGAAAATCTATTGCTTTCTCTCTCTACGCTAGACAACGTTACTTCTTCGACCTCACACTGTATGAAGTATCGCCTTTTGGGTCTACGACTCTAATAATAATTTTTATAGGTAAGCAACTAATTTTTTTTTACATGTCGTCCCCATCTTATTTTTCGATTGATTCTACAAAGTCCTTATTTGTTGCAGTATTCCTGAAGACATGACATTTGGATCTACTCTCTCTCTCATTCTTATTATAAAGGATTCAAATAAAACTTTAACAATTTAACTTCAATTTAACAGTTACTCTTTCTTATAGCCTGCCCCTTAATATCAGAGCTTTCCGCTCTGTGAATAAATCAGGTTTGAATCACCGATGCCGGACAAATTAAATATATAAATTTGGAAACGGAAAACTGTAGTGATTTGGTACCCTAGACGACGTTTAACACCACACCAATCAAAATTCGTACAAAAAGTTTTTTGTAGAATAGAAATCTGACTAATCGACTAGAACCAAAGACATCTAAAGTATTGAATATATTATAGACACCTATTATAAAACTAGGGGTTACATTCCACAGTCATTTTTAACTTACATGTAACGAAATACTTCGTTAAACAGTACTGACAATAATGTACAATTTGAACACGAATCGACTGCATGTACATTGGGAGGGGAAATTATAAAACGGTTTAAATGCCTTAACAGACCCAATATCTTGATTCTGGTGTCACTTGTAGTCTAACTTTAGATCCAATAGCCTCAATTTGTCCTCGTTTACGATCTGCATCTGAACGTTTTATGTGAATATCACCGTTTCGTGATCTGGGACTATCACCATTAGTTTCACGACAAGTTAAAACAGTATTGAACATGACTAAACGTGCGTGCATTAACTATTAAAGTACTTTAAGTATCTCACGCCGCAAAATGCAATTAAATTTCATGGAATGTGTTTTGTGTACATACAAATGTGACAAATGTGTGTGCACACTTTTTTATTATGTTGTAATTACAAAATTGATAATTATTTATTATATTAAGTCCCAGTTTAAAATTCCCGTAGGGGATCCTCAAAGAATCCCTAATGGTTTCTGTACAGGATCCGGTCAGGATCCCGTACATGAATCGTAAATCCTGTACAGGATCCCGACAGGACCCCATACAGGAAATTGGGACAAGATTCCTGTACAGGTTCAGGTGCAGGAACCTTAGATATTAAAATTTCATTTAAAGGTTCCTGTACAGAGAACTTTGCGCTTTTCTAAATTATAGGTACTTAAACGTAAAGGAACCCGTAAAGGATCCGGAATCAATTTATTTACTTTTTTAAGATCCTGCGCAGTAGTTTTCTATGAGTTTCTTGAATGCGCAATATATTTTTCTGGCCAACATTGTTATAGGAGCCTTACATATTGAAATATAAAGGGTATGTATTTCAAATGCTACTCAATATATAAACATCTAAAAACATTAAAAATTTTCCTGTGCAGGATTCTTTATATGAAACTTTGATAGCTAATGTTCCTGCACAGGAACCTTGTCCAAATTTCCGGTATGGGATCCCGTCGGGATTATGTACAGGATTAACGATTCCTGTACGGAATCCTGACCGGATCCTGTACAGGAACCGTTAGGGATCTTTTGAGGATCCTGTTCGGGAATTTTAAACTGGAATAAAATAAATATTTAGAGTTATCCTGGTCATTTTAGAACGCTTTTAGGCAAAGAAACACACCCTATTGCTCACTGGTTACTAAAAGTTAGACAACACTAATAGTCGTTAATGAAGAAAAAATTTAGGTTATTTAATTGCAAAAGAAATATCAAGTGGTTATCATTGACATAGAGATAATTCAGAAGCAGAGTAGAATATAAAAATAATAAGATTCGAATTCAGGTGTATGCACAAGTGTTGTGTATTAGGTTACGTTTTAGTAATATATTGACAGAGTATAAAGTCAACGACGTCAAATGAATACATATATACACACACCAACAATGTTCCCCTCTCGCCCACGTGGCTTATACACAGTTCTATTATGGAATTACCATATATGTGCGTTTATCGTTATTTTATTTGCAACTCGTTTCCCGCAGTCTTTCCGATCCACACGCTTTAATCTACATAAATAGTCATAAAATCAACGAGCTGAGTAAACCTGTGCCGTGATTAAAATAAAGGCGCCTGTACGATTTGATCTACCTTTATTGAAACCAATGCTGCTTCTACTGCTGTTGCTTCTGATATTTTATTTTTCCAACAACTAGTCTCACGGACCGGTTCAATTCCATCTGCAAATCTTTGTGATTTAAGATCTCGTGCCGCATAGCGCATAAATTTCAGATCACATCAAAACAAGCATCTCATTCTAAAGAAAATATTCCATGCGTGTGTGTGTTTCAAGATTCCAAATCATCCAACAACTGATTGTCTTTTGCTGTTTTAAGAAAAGAATCACTATTTATCGTTTTTTGGAATATTGCTTTTTAGCTTTTGTTTCTTATGCATGATGAAATAGGAAAAATAGGATTTATTAAAACTTTTGAAGAATAGTGTACTAAGGAAAATACGTGGGCAGAGCATATATCGTTCATTAGGCATGATAAAAGTATATAGCTCTCGAAATTGATTCTTAATTGACTTGGGAATATCGACCCGTCGCATTAAATACGATTGCGACCTGAAATCAAACTGATATGAATTAAACGATCGCGAAAATCTTCTAACAGTTTCGATATCTCTTCGTTTTTCTGATTATCCTGTTAAGTTAATTACTATTCTGAAATGTGCAAATCTAATTCTGAACGTGCCTCTAAATTACTTTATCAGGGTTGCCACAAAAACTTAATTTTGTTTTTCCCTAACTTCCAGATAAAATTTTAATTTCTTCCCTGACCCTGAAGAATATTCTGATTCAATCCAAAAATATTAGATACTCAAAAAAAATGTTCTATTTCATTTATTTACGAATTTCCTTAATAGTAAAATTATTCGAAAACATCAATAACTTATTTTTAAATAAATATTTATTCATCATTATTTTTCTTTAGGAATTAAGATTTTCAAATTCAAACCTTCTGAACCCTCAACCCCCACCCTCATCCGTTTAATCGTACTCTTCGTCCTCCCATTTGCCATTACATAGTCTATAACTGATTCCCCCTCCCTATAAATGTGTATTCTCCCTCCATATCCCCTTCAATACTACCATCATATATTTCCCACCCCGTTTCCTCCATAATGCTAATCAACTTCCTAACCTTTTTGTCTATCTCTTTATGTTTCGACACCCTTTTATACTTCTCCTCCTCTCCACTCCCCCCTCCCAGTTCTCTAGTTCAAGCATTAAAGTCCCCCCCCCTATCAGAATCTTTTCCCTCTTCCCTTTTTCAATCCATTCTTCCAGCTGTCTGAAACCCCTTCTTTCCCCTCTTCTTCTATATATCCCTACCCGTGTAGAAATATCGCTGGGGCCCTGATCAGGGCCGGATAGGGCCGACCTATTAGGGAATGAAACGCCGCGCCCGATGTGGCCCTGATTAGGAAATCCACATTTTCTTGTCGCCCGATCGGGCCCTGATCGGGCGCGGCGTATCATTCCTTACTATGGCCCTAGTAGGGTAATTACTACACAAGTACCACCGTTAATTTTTCCATTCCACACTTAACCCTCCTCACCATAAAGCCATCTTCCTTGTTACAACCACCCCGCATTTCTTTCATATTGAATTCACTTCTCACCCCTGACACCATGCCTCCGCACTCCTACCCTTTACTTTTTCTTTTTTCGCTCCTTAACATTCCCAAATAAATCCCTTCGGCAATCTGCTTTTAACCCCTTCCCAATCTTCCACCCAAGTCTCACTTAATATTACCACATCCCATTTACCAATATCCTTCCAAAAACCGTAGGGAGGGATGAGAAACAAATTACCAAGGAGGAGATAAGCAAAGCGATAGACAGGATTAAAAAAATAAAGCATCTGGAGGAGGGGTGGGATGGAAGGGGAATGTTTAATATATGGGGGAGGTGGTAAGAGATAAAATGTTGAAGATCGAGAATATGGTGTGGGAGAGAAGAGTGGAAAACGGGTTTAATACCAATTGTAAAAAAGAAGAAAGGTAAAAGATTATGGGGGGTTAACTCTGATGCCTGTGGGGTATAAAGTGTATACGGAGGTGGTTAGGAGAAGGTTTGAAGAAGTGGTGGAAAGAATGGGTCTAATTCCGCATAATCAGACGGGATTATGGAAGGGATGGGGACGGTAAATAATATAAACGCATTGAATTTTTTGGTGAACAGTAGTATTAAAAAGGAGAAAAGGAAATTAGTAGCGGTGTTCGTCGATTTTAAGGCGGCGTTCCCATCGGTTAACAGGGGGATTTTGTGGAAGGCTTTGAAAGATTTGGGTATAGGGCAGGGGTAAATAGACAGGGTAAAGGAATTTTATGAGGACACCACGGAAAAGGTTAAAATTGGGGAAGAGTTGGGGGAGGAGCTTTGGTTGGGTAAGGGGTTAAGACAGGGCTGCCCCCTTAGTCCAATCTTGTTTAATTTGTTAATGGCTGACTTAGAGAAATGGAAAGAAAAGCTAAAGGGGGAGTGATTCTGGGAATAAGAGGCGTGTGTATGTGCTAGCGTATGGGGACGATGTAGTATTGACGGCTGAGAATGAAAGAGGGATGAAATTGTTGATGAAGGATTTTGAAGGATACGTCAGAGAGAAAGAGTTAAGTGTGAATGTGGAAAAGACAAAGGTGGTGAGATTTAAAAGGATAGGGGAAATGGAGGAGGTGGAATGGAAGCTAAATAGGAGAAGAGTGGAAGAAGTGAGTGAGTTTTGCTATCTGTGTTATTGGTTTAATTGGAACGGGGATCAAGAGTTGAATATTGAAAGAAGAATAGAGAAAGGGGGAAGGGTGATGGGACAGATATGGGGAATTGGGGAGAGGAGATTTAAGAATGATTGGATGAAGCATGTATGGTTGTTTGTACTTTGGTATGAGCGGTGATTAGTTGTGGAGTGGCAGTATGGGGGTAGGGTGAGATTGGTAAGATTAAAGGTTTCCATGAAAGGTTTTTAAGATGGACTGATAGATTGGAACTCTCCGGGGTACATGCTAAGGGAGGAATTGGGAAGGGGAAAGGTTGTTTTGAGGCAAAGGAAGAGGGCAATGAGATTGGAGGAGAATTTGGAGTTGGGAAGAGGGAGTGATATTGCGAGAGAGTGTTTGAGGCAGGTTAAGAAAGGAAAGGCAAAGAGAAGGAAAGATATTTCAAGATGGGAGAGAGAAAGAAGGGATGCGTTGGAGGAGGGAAGGAAATGGGGCGGAAATGCGAGGGATGTGATGGAGGGTTGGAAGAAAAAGGATGAGAACGAGAGATGGAGTAGGATAGTGGATTCAAAATATAACAGATGGTATAGGATGGTGAGAGGAGTGAATGAGCCAGTTTATTTAGGGAAAATGAAAAATTATAAAAGATGGAATAGATTATGTAGATTTAGAATGGGTGAAGGAGTAAAAGAGTGTACACTGAAAAAAATTCTGTGTCGCTACCTTACCTACGAATGTCGCCGAATTGAGAGAGCATAGCGCGTCACAGCTCACACGCATATACACCGAACTAAAATCGCGGCGTGCTCAATACGAGGTTGCACCAATCTCGAGATATCGGTATGACAGCCTTCCATCTATTCGGGAAGGCTACCTGCTCTCGAGATTCGTTGACGCACCCGAAAACCGAAGGGCAGAGCACTCGAGGCAAGAGAATGTAGCGCCATCACCACACATGTGGTAGCCACACAGAATTTTTTTCAGTGTAGGTATTGGATGGATGATGAAGAGAAAATGTGTAGGATGTGTGGATTTCAGGTAGAAGATTGGAAG